ATAGTACATACAATGACCAAATTTGGTCCATTTACTTTCATTTGGTCCATTGGTCCAATGCTTTTTCAAATGGTCCATTTCACAAGTGCTTTGGTTGGTTTAACTTCATGCAATAGTTTTTAATTTTTTCTATTTAATTGATGAATTTTGGCAACACCTGCTAAAAGTTTGAATAAGCCACTGATCATCAAATAGGGCATCGCTAATCATCTGTCAAAGCACGCTTCAAAATTCTGCGGTTTCTTGCTAATTTCAATTTAATATCAATTTAAATGTTCCTTTCAATTCATGTATTTATGCCGAATTTCCACTAGGCATTGAAATAACATAAAATGTATGCCATTAAAAAAAATATGGACTGGAAATGAACTTAATGATTATTTTTTAATGTAATGACAGGTATGTTTGTTAATGCCCGTCTTTGTCACTTGCCATTTTGGCCATTTAATGCCTAGTGGAAATCCAGCATTAGTTTTGAAAACTTGTAAGTACATGTGTGTACCTGAAAGTGTGTTCTTTTTTTCTTTATTAATATCTGTGTTCGTGTGAAATAGCAGCTTATGTCGGTTCTTTAAATGACAAGCAATTTTTTGATGCGACTTAATAAAAGTATTGACTTGCTAGCATCGGAACTATTTATGCACGTTTATTTGCCAAAAGTTCTTCAACGGCTCGGCGTCAGTGAGCCATTCGCAATCGTGTGCTGCGAACGCCGCATTATACTAAAGCCTTTCGACATAAGGTATTGTTCCATACGAACACAGATATGTATGTATATTCAATTTATCCTTATAGGTAAATATTATAAATGTTACTTTAAGAAATATTTAATATACGATTGTAATGCACTTTGTACGCAATATGTAAAAAAAACGTAATAAAAACTGAATTGGCATATTTTCTTGACAAAGAGTAACAAACTCCACTCAATTTACCAATGTTATAGAAATTGGTTAATTTTTTATTTCCTCAAAGAAAGAGTATCGATAGTGGCCCAGGAGCATTCGATAGTGCAACAAAAAAATAGAACCATTCGATAGTACCATCGATAGTTTTACAGCTCTTTCGGACACCAAATTTGGTGCCACACTTTCGATTGGCTTCAATTTTTTTTATAGGTTCTATACATGAAATAAGCTAACACGCGTCCGAGGATTTTTTTTCGCTTTTTTCTTTGGAGATATGATATGGCCGAAGCTTGCATTTTTTCGTGATTCTGACTAATCATGTACTCCTTCAAATCGTTATATCTCAGGTTCGGCCCATCGTAGAGACTTCATCCTAACGTCGTTTTAAAGCTAAAGAAACGGACTTAATATTTCTCTATAAAAGATGCTCAAGATTGTCCTAAAGCTAACTTAGCTATTAACATTTTAACTTTTTGAAGTTAATTTGCATAGGGAAGACCTACCCGATGTTTAACATATATTTAAACACAAGTTTTCGAATACAAATTACAAAAAATTGTTGATTCTCGCAAAATAAACCATCTCGTCATAAAAAAAATATTTAAAAAAAAAGTTCTTGAAAAACGCCAATTTTTTGAACCACCTTTGTTTTATATAGAATTAAACAAGGATTACGATGGTATAACTTTAAATCCCTAATTTACTGGTCTTCCATATTCAAATCAATTTCAAAAAATTCAACTGTTAAAAGCCAAGTTAGCTTTAGGACAATCTTGACCACCTTATAAATTGAAATGTTAAGCCCGTTTCTTCGCCTTAAAATGACGTTAAGATGAAGTCTCTACGATCAGCGGAACGCGAGATATAACGATTTGAAGAAGTACTTGATTAGTCAAAATCACGAAAAAATGCAAACTTTGACAGATCATATCTCCGAAGAAACAAAAGAAGAAAACAATTCCTCGAACACGTGTTAGCTTATTTCATGTATACAAAAAAAATTGAAGCGAATCGGAGACATGACAATTTTTTTTACAAAATCCCTCCGACTTAAAAAAGAATGGCTCACCTACATGTGCAAATGCCACAAGAACCCAAATTTTCAACTTCAACCTGCATTTACAGGGAAAGTATGAAAGTTATCCAAAAACAAATTGCATTTTGAATTATGCGTCATCAATTTTACTAAGACCGATAAAACCTTAAATGTGCACCTGAACTATTACCTACTTAAAGAAGCGGTTGTAATCATTTGTTTGACAACGAAATACTCAGATTTTTATGACCACCGACCGTACATTCGATGGTCGATTAGATTACAATTAATGGTAATAGAAATTTGATAAAAATAATATCTTGCGTGGAAATTGTAAAACCATAAGTTCGACATTATCGGTAAGGTATATTTTACCTTCTCGGTATTAGATAGAGAAGCAAAGCGAATGGGCCAGGTGGACAAAACGAAATATCTCCTGTCATCGCACCAGTAGTCAGAGCATAAGCGTATTGGCGTCCACAGTTACATGTGTAAAAAAAAAGAAGATGACTTCGTTTATTTGGGAACCAGCATTAACAACGATTATAACGAATCTGTTCGAATAGATCTCCAGTGAAAAATAGACAGCAGCAACTTGCAGGAGAGTAACGAACGATTATCTCTCAAATTGGAAAACATCCAAAAAGTACGCGAACGAAAAATTTGCAAAAACTTGCAAGTTTTAAGTACAGCTGATCGAAATTTTGTTTACATACAAAAGCAGGAAACTCAAAACATGAAAAAAATATAAATTTAATATTAGTCCTGAGTTATCTGCTAAGCAAACGTAAGTAAAAATGAGTATTTGCTTTATTTCGAAGCAGTTGCAGTTCTAATGTGGCATTTTAAACATAACAAGTAAGAAAGTCTAAGTTCGGGCGGAGCCGAACATTAAATACCCGGCGCAAGTATTAAATATATGTTTTTATCACTTTTCCGAAAGCTACCGCTAGATGGTAAGCCGGGGTGTATCAATTTTGAGTAAATTAGCGTTCTTAAATTTCGAAATATTCCAGTTTCAAGCATTTCTGAAATTTACCGTTATATGAAAAGCGGCCGTAATTTTAGTCCGATTTCAATAATTTTCAACGGTTTGCTTTTATGTGGCAAGCACAATAACCATACCGAGTTTGGTACAAATTGGTATAACGGTTACGATATACATGTGATCATAAAAGGGCGGTGCCACTCCCATTTTCCAAAATTTTACAATAAACGTATTTCCTGGTAAAGAATTGTTGCAAGCATCAATTTTGAATAAATTAGCTTTAATATTTACTGATTTATCGAAGATTTTTCTCTAAATTACCGTTATATGGGATGTGGGCGTGGTTATTGTCCGATTTTTTAAATTTTCGGCCATTTAGTATGTTGTACCAAGGCCGAAAACGGTGCCAAGTTTGGAAGAAATTGGTGCAGCGGTTACCAAGATATGCAAATGTAACCATAAGTGGGCGTGGCTACGCCCATTTTCCAAAAATTTATAATATTCTTATTTTTTGTCTGTTGTTACTAAAATATCGCAGTTTTCGTATTTCTGGAAATTATCGTTATATGGGAAGTTGGCGTGGTTACTGTCCGATTTCGCCCATTTTCAATACCAACCTACCTTGGATTAACGGAAACCTACATACCAAATTTCGTTGAGATATCTCAATTTTTGCTCGAGTTATCGTGTACACGGACGGACGGACAGACGGACAGACAGACATGGCTTAATCGACTTCTCTATTCATTCTGAGCATTTATGTATACATTTGTCTATATCTATCTCGATTCGTTTTGGCTGTTACAAATTAATATACCCTTGTGCACAGGTGCGCTCGGGTATAAAAATCATCAAAATAAATTTTTATAAATTGAAAACAGATGACTTTGATCAACTGTTTTTCTTACGGGCTAATTGCTACTGGTAAAAATTTGTCAACTTCTCCTCCAAGTCAACTGTCACCTTGCGCTCTCAATCTCCCCTACTTTGCAAGCTTTTTGTGTACGCGAACGCCAGAACCTGATAATTTGCAATAGTTATCAGCTTGTCGAACAGACTAAATGTCAGCCTTGAGATCCAAGTGAGAATCACTCTCGCCAACAAGTGCTACTTTTGAACTGAGTAGGCAATTGAGAAGTAAAGTCCCCTCTCGTCGTACAAAAATCCCACTCTATAAGTCACTCATCATGCCTGTGCTGGTATATAGTGCGGAGGCATGGACAATGAAAACATCTGATTAGGCGGCTCTTGGAGTTTTAGATAGAAAGATTCGATTTAAAGATAGGCTGTATGAGCTTTAAATATAACGATATACACTCAAAAAAAACTTTCGCTTAATTGAAGGAAAACAGCAATCAGAATAAAGAAAAATGGGAACGAAATAGCACTAAAGAAGTTTTATCCTCTTTTCATGCCCAACATTTCTTCAAAATGATAGATTACATCCACGGTGCCATATTTTCGTGTATGTACGTTTTTACACATTACAAAGAAAAATTTCTCATTCGGGAGAATTTTTTACTCATTCGGAAGAATTTTCGACCTTAAAGTAAGGAAAGTTTTTCTTTGATCCAGAGATGGATTTTTGGTTCAGTGTAGACATAGCGGCTCCGCTGGCCAGGTCATGTCGTTTAAATGGACAGAAACGCTACAGCTCTGAAAGTATCTGCTAACAGAGGAAGAGGAAGGCCTTCTCTGGTCTCTGGAAAGACCAGGTGGAGAAGGAATGGCTTTACTTGGCATTTCCAATTGCCGTCAGTTGGCACAGAAGAGAAACGACTGGTGTGCTGTTTTGAACTCGCCAAAACCGCTGAGGCGCTTACAGCGCCAACAAAGAAGAAGAAGATGTTCTTAAAAAATCTTCTCCATTCTCTCTCACATTTGCCTAATTTGAACAGGAAATAAACAAAAACTTCCATATTTAGTACTTGATTTTTTTTCTCCTGGGTATTAAATAATCCGCTACTTTGTGGTTGATTTGTTGACGGCTGGTTCTTGCTATCGCGGGGTGCAATCAACCCATTTATACTCCCGTTGTTGTTATAGACATGTCTAAATGTATGGTCTCCGATATTTCGTGGTATGATAAGATGAACGGTGTACATATCGTATACGTTTGCAGCGGCAGTTCAATTCATTTGTAAGTAAAAAGAACATGAAACAAGTCGGTGTAGTTAAGTGGTCAGCGAAGATATTTATTGCTCTTCTTTGCGTGACAAAGTGTTTTAACGAAGTTCAAGGACAATATGGCCAGAATGCTGGCGCATGGCAGTTTAGCTTCGAAGAAGGTGCCACCGAACTGCTCTTAACCATTTCGCAACTGACGCAGTATGTAAATGTAACAATTTTCGATGTGGATTTGAGTACGGGAAACGATTTTCATTTTGAAGTGAATTCGGATAATCCCAAATGGGTACATGTGGAAAAACGTATAGAACGCGCAGAATTCGCGGGTAATCCAGCTTCATGGCAGGGTGAAGTGCCAGTGTTGACACGCCACTTTGGCTTCACACATCTATATGTGACACTACATCCGAGCAATGGCGACGCTGTAGAACGTTCACCACGCGATGTGACGCTTACTGTTGCGCGCAAGGAACGGTTGGATGAGAAAATATTCAGCTATACGGCCTCTGTGCTATTGCTATTGATGTTCCTCAACTTAGGAGGCGTATTGAATTTAGAACGCTTGAAAGCGATAGTTTTGCGGCCAGTGACCGTCTCAATCGGATTTTGTACCAGTTACATTTTAATGCCTGCACTCGCATTAGCACTCGGCTACTTGTTTCTACCAAAACAGAAGGAACTGCAGTTGGCACTCTTCTTCACAGCACTCTCGCCCAGCGGTGGCTTAGCCAATATATGCTGCCTTTTTCTGAAAGGTAATGTGAATCTATCCATTGCCACGACGACCATAAATAGCCTCATGTCGCTAGCTATGTTTCCCTTGTGGATTGTTATACTGACGCACACCATGTTCAGACATACAGAATTGGCTGTGCCATTTGCGGATCTTGCTATCGGCGCTGTGGCGCTTATCTGCGCGATCGGTTTGGGAATGCTACTACGATTTTTATTACCGAAAACCACAAATCTGATTTTTCGTTTCTTAAAACCGTTCTGTGCATGTCTCAGTTTGGCGCTTATCGGCATGACGATTGGCATAAATGCGTTTGCCTTCAAATTGCTGACTATTTGGGTGAGTAGTCCATGATACCAACTATCACAGTTTGTTTATGAGTTATTTGGTTAACTTGCTTGTTGTTTTGCTACTTCACACAGATTTTCTTAGCTACTGTCTTTCTGCCTATCATTGGTTACACGCTGGCGTTCGGTATATCAAAACTACTCCGCTGTTCGGCAACGGATGCACTGACAATCTCCATTGAAACCAGTGTCTTGAATATGACGGTGCCGATAGTGCTGCTGCAACGTACTTTCGACGAAGTCAGAGCCGACATGTCCCTTATTGTGCCCATTACGGCGGCGCTACTGTCACTGATCATGATGCTTGTCATTTATGCGATTCGTCGTTTCTTTGGTTGGAATAAGAATGTAGATGATGAAGCTTTTGAATCTAAGGTGGAATTGGTAGATAATGTATCGAGCGAATTTAAAGATAGTAGCCCAGTTACAACCATCAAAGTCGCGCATTTAAACACCCTCAACTAAATGTTGTTGCATTTTATATATACATACACTCCAAAAAATCCGTTTAAAAATGTGACTATAATTCGAGTATACTTTTGTTTATTTTTAATTTTTTTGGTAAATTTACACGATGAATATGTATTTTCTCGTTTACATATTTTTGTGTGTAAAATCCTTTCTGTAAGCGGCTTTACACAAGTCAACGGGTGAAATCAAACAGCAGATGTGTATTTTGTGGCTTGTACACACTTTCGCAGTAAATTTATGCACACCACAGCAGCTATACTACACTCCGAAAAGTCCGAAGTTTAAACAAACTATTCTTTGAATAATCGAGCATGTAATTTCGAGAATAATAAGGTAGGAAATCAGTAACCTACCTTTTAGCTAGGAAATCTAAACATTTTTTTTAGAGTGTGTGTATAGCTATAGAGCTACTCAGTTTTGGCATGGTAATTTTTTTTAGTATCAACCTAAGCAAATATTTAGTAAACAAAAATGAGTAGTCCACTTGCAAAGTGCGCTATGTAAAATTTTTTAGAATTTTAATTTTTGTTGGGTAACGTACCAGTAATCAAAGTAGTTCCATGTCCACTAACAACAAAGTGCAAAATCTTTCTATATTCTGAAAAAAAAAATAGCATCAAATGTTAACTACTGTTGCGAAAGTCGCTATAATATGTATGTACTTATTTATGCACTTTCAAAAGTTTCCATCTTCGTATGAACTTAGAAAACTGCAAGAAAACGTGGTAGTTTCGGTGCTTAGTGGAAGAGGTCGTAAAAAAGAAGCAGACCAATCTTCATGGAGGAGAGAACGCGAAAAGCTAAAAAAGATCGCTATGTAAGAGTTACTGTTTCATGACATACTATATTAAATTTTTTAATATACAATTTGCAAAAACTACCATACTGCAATTTTATTTTTTAATGTTATTAGGCTCTCATTTATCCAAATTTTCAGGTAAAAAAAAAGATACAGTTTGGATGTTACTTGTTGTAGAGTTTTTTTTTTTAATTCATGGCTTACTTTTATAAAATCACATAACGCTGCTTGCAAGTGGACTACTCAAATTACAATCGAAGATCACCCAACTTGTCACACTCGCTTTCTTACCTCATTGTAATATCATACTGTTATGTACGTAGCATATGTGAACTAAAATACTTTAAAGCATTCAATCCTCTGTCTATCGGTCACATTAGCACGAGTGTTCTTTAAACGCTCGCAAAATTTATTATTATTAATTTTTATGTTTGCACATACGAAAAGTATTCAGGTTGAATCACACAACGGCAAACAAAGGAAGCGCTCAACAACGCTTTCTGAGAAATTTTTGTAACAAAAGAGATACATATACACTAGGCGACAAATGAAAGTGTACACCTGTTCCAATATAATATTCACAATTGTTTTCATGAAAAATTATTCGCAATAATTATTCATAAAAATATAGTTCATTCTATAAAATAAACCATATAAATCAAAGTTTCACACTCTATATAAAGTTCACAAAAGTTAAAAAAATTCTCAACTTTTCATTCAGAATTTCTAGAAAATTTTCGAGTATGCATGCAGTTTTATAGCCCATTTAATTTTATTCTAATGAAGTGCAAATTTCAACCTGCTAAAAAATCGCGTTCAGTTTTGGGATTTTTTTTTTAGACTGCTTTTGCGTTTTGTTTTTTTTTATATAACCCGACGCTTCGAAACTACTATGCTAAGTCTGCCTTAATCTCTAATGACTTAGCGTGGAATGTTTTGGAGGTGTCGATATGGAAAAATGTGCAAAAATCCGTCACGAAAAAAATTCTCAAAATTGAATAGGCTGCAAAGCTGCATACTCGCAAATTTTGTAGTAATTCTGAATAAAAAGCCTAACATTTTGATAAAAATTTTTGAATTTTTGTGAACATAATATAAAGAGTGAATATGTAATTCATTAATTGAATTGATATTCAAAGTCGACTAAATTCTTTTGATAAAAAGTTTATCTAAAGCTAAATAAATGAAAATTTCTAAAAATTTATATCTGGATCTGATCTCGGAACGAAATTAAGAAATACGAACAGTGCGTGTCTGGGATCTTATCGCACTTTTGGCTAGATACTGCTTTATACATAGTATATAAAAAAAAAGCTATTCTATTTACTAAAATTGTATACAAATTTATAACGCCCTACCTTTATGATATCAATCGATTTTTTAATGTGATAAATTAAAACTACACTTATACACATGTACGTACGTATGTATGTATGCACACTAGCAAAATTTATTTACTATACATGAAATTAAATAAACACATCGAACTTAATCTTTCTTAAATAATTTATAATACTTTAGAAATTATGGCTTTCGAGATTAGTTATGATTTTTAATTTTTTTTCGCATTTCTAATAAAGTTTCTGGGTCAAAGATACATAATTAAAAAACTTGTAACGAGCACTTCATATATGAAGGAAATGCACATATGTAAATATATATGTACCTATGTATAACTAGGGATGGCCGATATGCATCGATGCACCGAACATCGATATTTTTTTTTTTAGTGTGATACATCGCTCAATTTCGATGCATCGAATGGTATTCGACATTTCCAATGCATCGATTTCTTTGTCCGATGCATGGATTTAACAATTAACTCACAATTTCCCAAAAATTTAGATACAAATTCACAGCTATAGATTTGAGAAAGAATTGTAGTAGATGGGAAATGATGTAATATACTTGCAGTAAAATGGTAACCCCGTTGGTATTGTGTTCAGTCAACCATTTTGAAAGTGGTGGCAAAGAATAGAAATAATAGACATTTTGTGATTGTTTCAAATGAAAATGGTGCCAAAAAAGAAAAGTGCTGTTTGGACAGCATTACAATATTTGTAAAATACCTGTCAAAAGACAAGGTTCAATTGTTACCAGCTTTCAGAATGTGGAATCGTACGGTACATCTGGAAGCAAAGCAAGACAAATTAATAATTGTATTCTGCATATGATTTGCAAAGACAATCAACCCATGAGTATTGTTGAAGGCGAAGGTAATCTTACTAATCTTATCTTACTAATATTATAAATGTGAATGTTTGTACGTTTGGATGTTTGGGAAATCATCACGCGGAAACGACTGAACGGATTTGCATGAAATTTTGTACGCAGATAGCTTATGGGCCAGATTGCCACCTGCTAAAAAAGTTCAATTTATTTAATATGCGGGAACGACTGAACGGATTTGCATGAAAATTTGCACACAGATAGCTTATGACCTAGGTTGGAAAATAGGATACTTTTTCTAAGAGTTACCACCTGTTAGAAATGTTTAATTTAAATTAATACGCGAACATGGGTGAACTGATTTGCATGGAAGTTTTCACATAGATAGCTTATGAGCTAGGTTGGAAAATAGGCTACTTTTTTAGGAGCTGCCACCTGCTAACAAAGTTTAATTAAATTAATACGCGGAAACGTCTGAACGAATTTGCATGAAATTTCGCAAGCATATAGCTTATGACCTACAGTGGAATAAATAATATAAAAAAAACTTTTTAATATACAACGCTTTTATAAATGGACTAAAAAATAGAAAATAATACTTCTCAGTCCCATAGAATTTGTTTTGATAACTTTTGATTTTGAAATTTTAGCAAAAGTCATTATAAACAATCTATGAAATTGAAAATGAAAAACGTGGAGCGCATGCAATACAAAGCATTCGATTTAATTGACAATAGTCAAACTACATAACGTAGACCTAAAATTTCTACAGCG